GCATAATAAATGGTTGTTGTATGTCACCAAGGATGGAATGGTTGTTATGAAGCAATAGTAACCAGAACAGGCATTCTATGTTTTTCCTCTGGTGGTGGAAGCGGGCAGACTCAAGAACACAGTTCTCCATAACCCTGAGTGCTGTTGGTGGAGCTCGTGGGACACTGTGGCCAGTGACTTCTCCCCTTGATGAGACTGAGGACTGGCGCGCTTTCCCAGCACAGATGATGTAAGAAGATGGCGCATCATGTCAGACTGAATTTCTCTCTGAAAAGGGCTCCATTTGTTTGTAATTATTTCAACAGTTGATGTTCTTATCCAATAAGAGGTGCCTGTGTGCTTGGTCCTGCCGTCCCCTCCACCGGCAAGGCCTCCACTCTGTCCCTGGGCCTTAGCAACACACTCTGCTCTCATCTAACCCTGAGACAGCTCACCTGGGCCCTTGGACCCAGCACATCACCAACCTCAGTTAAGTGATGACACTGACAGAGGGTCAGTGTAAACTCTCAGGAATGGCGACAACTTTGGTGTAGTGGGCAGGTTGGGTGCCCAGAGAGAAGTGTTGGGGGGTGTGGCCTCACAGCAGGTTGGGGCCTGGATCTGATGTGCACAGACTTGTCCTTTAGGCAACAGTCAAAGGGGGACATTCATATGGGGGGTTCACTGTGACACAGCAAACGGTGGAAGATTGAACACAGACAGAGGACATGGAATTAGGGAAGACTGGAGAAGCTTCCTTTGAAGCAGAATTGACAGGATTTCATTACCAATTGAACGCTGAACATAGGAAGCAGTGAGAGTGTTTTCTAAACTGGATCATTGGAAAACGAATCCACAAAATGAAAGCCAGAAGACGAGAGGCAGAATAAGGAGAAGTGGCAGGAAAAGACGTGAAGAGGAGATAATGAACTACACGTTGGACCACGAGGGGAGAGTCAGGAAGGCATCTTGGGCCTGAAATGGAGATTTCGGGGGCATCGGCCAAGAGCTGCAGCAGAAGCCATGGGAATGGGCCCACGTGTCCAGGCGGAGGGAGAGTGTGCACTTGGAGAAAAGAACGAGTTGAAGGGGTCTCCCTGGGAACGGCCTTATGTGATGGCTGGAGGGAGCCGTCACTCAGCAGAAAGAGGAAGAGAACCAGCAGATGGGCTCTCGGAAGAAAACCTTCCCCGGCACCTGACAGGGCTCCTTGCACCCGGCAGGTGCTCAGTCCACGTCTGCTGAGTAAAGAGACCCATCAGCGGGGCACACAGAGGCTCATCTCTGACACAAGGAAAACAGCAGAGCGAATGCAAGGAGCAAAACTTAGGAGTAAATGTACAAAAGAACAGCTAGTTTTAGCTAAGGTCTGCTACAGGAGTGACAGACACATTGGCCTGCCATGCATCAATTGGAGATGAGGTAGTGCTTTCCAACCAAATGTGTCAGTCAAGCTGTGACAGACTGCGAGTGGTGACAGACACACGCTGCATGTTGCAGGCCCAGCTGTCGAGAGAGGGCAGTCTTCCCGTGAGTGAGGAAGCAGGGCGCTTCCTCCCAGGCCCTGGGGCTGGAGCAACACTCACACTTCCCCTCAGGGTCACTGTCAGTGGGCTCCTCTTGACAGTCACAGGCCACTCACAGGCAGGGGGTCCCGCTGAAAGGCTGGTAGCTGGCAGCGGGATACAGAGAATGAACAGCTGTGCTGGGGATAATGGGATGTGATGGGCAGTGATAGAGAAGGAACATTTCATGCTGCTCAAGAAAAATCTGGGGGAAAAAAAAAGCAGGAGAAAAAAATGCACGGACTGGATCGTGTCTGGGTACCGGGAACATAAGATGACATCACCCTCTGAGAGATTTTCTTTCTGCTGGAGACTAGAAGGAGGATGAAAGGCCTCTCCTGCCCCTGGTGGAGCTGATGTGGGGACACAAGCCATGAGCCTTCTGGAAGTAAGAACTGAGCAGAGGCCGAGTGAGGAGGGTAACGCAGGGAGAATCTGGAAAAGCAGCCAAGCACCAGATTCGGGAATCATGGGTTATTACTAGCATGACTTAATCCTGAATGTTCACCTTGCAGCCCTGATCAAAACACAGCATTCTTCTGTCTCTCCCTCTGCTGTTCCCTTTCTTCAGTGGGGTGGTCCCTCCCTGCCCCGGGATGAAGGCTGAGGCAGACCCTACGGCATTGCCTCTTTCTTGGTGGTTGATGGTCCTTCAGTCTTTTGAATCACATGCTCAGTCTCCATTCAGTAATGAGATGGTCCCCTATAATAGCCCAAACTCTGGCATTAAATCTTCTCTACCCTCTCGCTCCCCTTTCCCTTCTAAGGCTGCTTAGGTTGGAAACTCACAACTGACAATATGGCTCTTCTCTCATCCTGCTCCCCTCTTCCTTCATTGGACTCCTGAATCTCTAGCTCCATCCTGGAGCGGGGGAGGGCAAGGTGGGGGGAGGGGATGAAGAGGAAGGGGAGTGTGTTGGCTCCTTCCATCGCCCCCCCCCCCCCACCATGCTGTGTACCTGGGAGCTTGACCTCTAAGGACCCCACCAACAGGCCCCTTTGCCCCTGGCTTCCGGTTGGGTTTGAGCAGTGGGAAGCTCCAGCAAGAGAATGGAGGGAAGGGGAGAGTAAGGTCAAGGTGTGACTTCCCCCTACTCCCTCTCTGTGGGCTGCCTCCCTGGAAGAAGTTTCCAGCTCCTGTCAGTTGCCTATGGCCCTCAGTAGCCTCTCTGGGTCCTGGTGGCCACTCCTTCTTTTTACCCATTGAAGTCCAGTGCTAGGAACTGCCAGGACCCTGAGTGCTGCATATCAGATGGTCCTCACACAGCTTGGTCAGGCTTCCTGCTCCGTGGGCCTGGCGGAGGCTGAAGCTGACTTTCCTCCCTCTGGAGGCCCTCTCATGGACTGTTAAGAGGTTCCCCATTTGCCCATCTCTCCTACACCCCAGGGCCTGGCCAGTCCTCTGAGGTTCCTTCCTCAGCCGCCAGCATGCACATCTCCAGTCTCTTCCTTAGGGCTGCTCACCTCTCCATGCAGCCCAAATGGACAGCGCCCAGGACAACCCCAGGCCGTCATCTCCTGGGCAGTCCGCGTCTGTCCTTAAGAAAGGCTCCTAGTTCCCTGCCCCGAGCCAGCTTTGGGAGAGGGTCCCCCTCTCGTTCCCCTGGCCCTGCCCTCTGCCCTGGGGATCGATGCACTCGGCAGGATCAGACCCCGGTCCACCGTCAAGTGAGTCAGGTACCAGCCTGCATGTCCCCAGCTTCAGGAAATGCCCTCCGAAGCTCCCCAGTGAGACCCCCTTGAAGACGCTCTCCCTGAGCCTGGGCTACAAAGGAGGCCCCCGGAGACGTAGGTGGGACTCTCAGGAAGGTAAGAGCTCTCTCCAAAGAAGTTTGTTCACCCGTCCTCGCCCCAAAGTGCCCTGGAGCTATGCTCAGCAGGATTGAAGTGAGGACCCCGCAGCACCCGAGCCCAGGGCTCTAACGGCACTCGTCCCCAAGGGCAGCATCTGCCACGAAGCCTCCTCTATTCTCAGACCCTTTCATATTTCCAAAGAGGGTGAGTAGTTGTGGGATTCAAGAAGTAGGTTTGTGACTATTTCCCTTGGAAATATTGTCGTGTGAATCGTCTCATTCCCCTTGGTAATAAAATCTTTCATATTGCAAAGTCAACCAAAAATGACCTAAAAAGACTCCCATTCTAACAACTTCTTACATCATCTTCGGGCAAGCCACCTGACTTCTGGGGGGCTCTGTTGTCATCCCTGTAAAACGTGAGAGTGAGTTCAGAGAGGCTGGCTCAGTTTGCTTGTTATAATTGGTTAACACTCGTCTGCACCATAACAACACAGCCTCTGTGAAACCCACACAGTGTTTCTTTTTCTTACCATTATACTCCCTGGCCCTGACCCACAGGAGGTGCATTCAAACCATATCAGAAGAAGAATGAAAAAAATGCTAAGTTCAGAGGGCTTCTGAAGGTCAACAATGAGATGGGTATAGGAAAACATTTGGCAAAACAAAAACCCACTACAAAATCCAAAGATCTTCTTTTGGGGGCAGTGCCATTTCCCAGTTTTACAATGATGTTTTAGACCAAGCCTTGTGATGACCTGCGTCTCCATTAGCACGCCGGCCTCTTCTCCTAGCACTCTCTGCCTTGTGTAGTCGGATCCAGTCACATGGGTTTGCTGGCTGTTCCTGACACCATGTGCCACCGCAGGACCGTTGCACTTGCTGTGCACTGTTTTTAGGACACTCTTCTCCCAGGTATCCATGGCTCCCTACCTCCCGGTTGGATCTCCTTGGGGAGGACTCTGCTACACTGCCAACATTTTAGACTGCAAATTTTCTCCTCGTCTTCTGCAAAGGGGCCCACACTTCCCCAGGGTGTTGAGCGTTGGGAGAGAAGCAGTATCCAGACTTCAGGACACTGGCTCTGAACTCGTGGTAATTCCTGGGACCCAAAGCCACACTGTGGTCCACAGTCAAGGTGAGGCTGTTTTTTACTTCAGTTGGGAGAGACCGTGATGAGAAAGTTTTATTTTTGAACCTAGCCAGTTCAGTTCCTTTACCTTTCCTCTAAATTCTGCTTGAAAGTTGACTAATTATTTGTGCCTTTTTATGTGCAGCAGAAAGGCACGGGTTGATCCTTCCAGCATTTTACTTGGAAATCTCTTTCACGAAATCCATTAAGTCATCAGGTACATTTTAAATGTTTCCGTGTTACCCCGGGCAACAGTTTTGCTCAACTTTCTTCCTCTGCATAAGGAGGGTCCTTTTCTTCAGCCTTGAAGAGCGCTTTCCTGTTTCCCATAAGTCCTCACTGACAGCCTCCTCGCGGCTGGTTGAGTTTCTGGAATCGTCTTGTGGCAGCCACAGGGGGGCGCTGCTCAGATCTCCAAGAGAGAAGCTGGCACAGGAAGTCAAAGAGCCAAGAGCCTCTAGCTGCAGCGCCTTCAGGACCCGCCGCGGCTCTGAGCTGTGGTCACCAGTCTCCGCTGGCAGCTCCCAGCCCACAGCTGACTGAGGCAGGGGAGCCGAGCTTGGCTACTTCTGTCCAACATGCCCGTCTTCTGTGCACAGTCTCGTGCTGAGCTCCCTGTTGGGCTGGCTGAGACCTTCTGAGAGCTGTGCTGCCACCTGAGGCTCCTTTTGAGCCAATCCTCCTACCTCTTCCTTCCCCCTCATTTTACAGGTGTCAAGCCTGTTTCTAAAATCTAGAGTATAAATGCCTTCCCTTCCTACTGCTGTCTCTCTTCATTGTTTCCAGGCATCACCACTAATAAAGCTCTCGCACTTCTAACTCTCTCTTGGTGTCCTGGAGATCCTTCCAGGAGGACCCAGCCTGGCTCAGACCTCCTCGAGGTCCCTCCAGCTTCTGACAGCTCCCTGGTCCCAAGCAAGGACCGCATGTCTTAGGTTTTAGTTGGTAGCGCTCCACTTCCAGGTGCCAAATTATGTTCTGGTTGCTGCTGCTGCAGAACAAATTGTCCTCAGTTCCATGGATTAAAACAACCATCATATTTTGCTCACAGTACTGTGGGTCTGGTTGTGGGAAGGCTCGGCTGGGCAGTTTTCACTGAGTGTGTCCCATGCAGTTGCAGCCAGAGGTTGGCCAGGACTGGACATCAAAGATGGCACACTCCTGGAAGTTAATGCCTGAGGGCTGCTGGGCTGCTGACAGGAATGCCGACTTGTGGTGTCTCCAGTATGGCAGTCCCAAGGAAGCTGGACTTCTTACACAGCTGCTGGATGCCCCAAGAGAATCAAGGGGAGGTGGTATGGCCTTATGAGGTCTAGCCCTGATGGTCACGTAGCCTCATTTTATCACTATTCTATTGGTTAGAAGCAAGTCACTAAGTTTAGCTCACATTCAAGATGAGAGGGCAGAGGCTCCATCTCTTGACAGAAGGAGTGTCAATAATTTTCAGACACATTTTCAAACATCCACAGTGACCAATGTGACAGTGGCAGAAACCAACAGTGGACCCCTTCCATGGCACAATGCCCTAGGGACCATCCATCCAGCTGTTGGCATGCTGACTGCACTGGAACACTTCCGTCATGGAAGCAGCAGCACTTTGTTCTCGTTGGAACACACACTAATTCTGAATATGAGTCTGCCTTTCTTCTCTACAATGCTTCTGCCCAAACCACCATGTGTGGACTTACAGAATCAATGCCATTTTCACTGCCATAGTATGTCATTGAGCATCATCTCTGACCAGGGAATTCATTCTTAAAGCAAATGAAGGATGCCAACAGAGTTTTATACACGGAATCCACTGGACCTTACCAATGTTCATCAACCCCCTGGCGCAGCCGGCCTGAGAGAACAATGAAGTAGCCTTTTGAAGACTCAACTACAGTACCAGCTTGGTGATAATACTTTGTGTGGGTAAGGGACTGGCCTCTAGGATGAAGTATATGCTTTGAATCCCTGTCCGATACATGGTGCTCTTCTCCCATAGCCAAGATACACAGAGCTGGGATCAAGGGATCAAAATGGGAGAGGCTCCTCTTACTATTACCCTAACAATTAACCGCCCAAAGTTTTACTCCTGTTCCTGCAACTTCGGGCCCTGCTGGTTTAAAGGCACTTGTTCCAACGGCAAGATGCTTCCATTGGAGAACACAGCAGGGCTGCCTTCTAATGGGAAGTTGAGACCAAGCTGGCCATCTGGGTTCCTATGTTCCAGTGAACCAAGAGACCATGAAGGAAGTGACTGTGCTGGCTGGGGTGACTGACTATCACAGGAAAATGGAATGGCTGCTATTCAAGGGGTAGAGGTGGGGCCGGGACTGGAAAATGGAAGAGTATGATCAAAATGCAGATGATACTCGGGCATCTTAGTACTTCTGAGTTCTGTGACAACAGTCAACAAGAAACTAAATAACCCAATACAGGCAGGATAGCTAATGGCACAGAATCTGCAGGGATGAAGGTTGGGGCACCCCACCAGGCAAGGAACTATCACCAGCTTAGGTGCTTACTGAGGGCAAAGGTACCGTGGAATAGGCAGTGTAAGAAGGAAGCTGTAAATATCAGCCACGAGCTACAACCAGCTCCAAAAACAAGAGCCATTCCAATGATGGTATTTCTTCCTTGCTTTGACAAGAATATATTCATTTACAAGCGTCTATCTCTACATATGCATATGTAGATTTTATCCATATATTGAAATCCCTTATCTTTGTTTTCCTTTCCTCATTCTAATATAAGATGTGTTAATAGTGGGCAACTTCTTATGTCAATATTTAATCCACAGGATATCAAAAGGAGAGTGAGAATCCTCTAGAAGAGGAATAACCATCACCCAAAGATGGTGAGGTGGTATACGGGAAACTGTGTGTCCTTTCTGAGGAGGCTGGGGCTGCCATAACAAAATACCACAGACTGAGTGGCTTAACAACACACATTCATTTCTCACAGTTCTGGAGGCTGGGAGTCCAAGAGCAAGGTGATGGCTGAATAGGTTCCCGGTGAGACTCTTCCTGGCTGGCCTGTGGCTGCCTCCTTGCTGTGTCTTCACGTGCTAGAGAGTGAGCTGTGGTCTCTCTTCCTCTTCTCAAAAGCACACTGATTCCACTATGGGGGTCCCATCCTCACGACCTCAACTAAACCTGATTATCTCCCCAAAGCCCCACCTCCATATACCATCACATTAGGGGTTAGGGTTTCCACCTGTGAATACAGGAGGAGACACAAACATTCGGTTCATAATAGTATGTTTTTTGGTTGTTCAAGGGATAACGGCATTAAGTTAATCAGAATCAATTCTGCTCTGTCTTCATGCGGAAGTTAACCATAGTCCTGACAAATGTACGTGTTTGCCAGGTTGGTAAGAGCTGGACTCTGTTGGATTGGGAAACATCATCTTGGCTAAGGCTGGGAAGGATGCTTTCCAGAATCCCCTTCCCTGCATGGTTACTGGGCAGAGCTGGCCAAAAGAGGAACCTGCATAGGTCTGGGAGGTGGAAGGGAAGCAGGTGTTCCACTCTGATGGTCGATGCAGTCGGACACGGTGATGAACTGATGAGGAGGAGCCAGCGGGCCCAGCTTGCCTCACTCTCCTCAACTCTGCATCCCTCCCATCTTTCTTACTGCAGGCCTGCTGACCAAGGCTGGCCCCACACCCACCCACCAGGAGCTTGGCTGTGGACCCATGAGGCAGCAGCTACACAGAGGCAACCATTTCAGCAGAGTGGGTAATTTCCACAGAGCTCTCCATAAGCTCCCCGCTCGTGGCCCCACCTCAGCATCCAGATATGCTTTGCTTCTCAGACTCTGTGCAGGCTTGCAATTGTCCACTGCACCTCTCTCTCCATTTATCCATCTCTCCCTTCTAGAACTCCATTTCCCAGCTCCTCCCATGTGTTCGTAAAGTCAAATTCCTATAATCAATTCCTTCTTCCCCATCATATTTACAGCAGCTCAGTTTTTGCACCTGAACCCTGACTGATACATTTTGGTTCTCTGTTAAAACGTTAGCTTATTAGGAAGGGCTTCCTAGAAGGCTCCGTCTGAAAAGCGCCCATCACCCCTGACCCCTTCACTCTGACCCTCCCTCACAGCTCTGTCACCACTGACACAGCACAAGTGTGTAATTTCGCTGCTTTGTTACCACTGAACCCTTGATGAACAGAGTGGTTCCGAGGACTCGGTAGCTGCTTGGTGAGTATTTGCTGAATGCAGGTTTGGGGAAGCCGGATTGAAATGCTAGTATACCATGATCAGAGTGACACTGATTTTTCCGATAGTGTCTTTGGAAAGCAGGAGCAGGGGAGGAGAAGGGAGAGGAGGAGAAGGAGAAAGTGCACAAGGACACCATACCGGGCACTTGACATGGCTCATGCCGAGACAAACCTACACGTAAGGCAAACTCCCCAAACAGAGGCTCAGCGACGTTAAAGGACTTGCTGCAGGTCTTTACAAAGCGACAGAGCTTAAAATCATATTGAGGCATTCCAATTTGATCTGAAACTACAGTTTGAATTCCCGAGCTTGACCAATTTGCTGAAGTACTAATTGAATAATCAGTCCTTTCATCTGTGATTTCATCTGTCTGCATAAGCAGTCGGTTCTGTGATTTATAATCCACGTCTTTGTGTAACACTTCTAGGATTTACTGAACATTTTCACTAGCCAACACTTTATTATAGACAAATGATGGTTATAGCATTTTTAAGATACACATTTTAATTTTAAACTAGTTAAAGAGTATTGCTGTAGAAAGTAGGAGCTAAAACCCTGGAGTCGTAATATTGATAAAGAACTCTGTGGCCCCCGTACGTGAGATGCACACATTCTCCGCGCTGAGCCAAACGGGCCTGGCGGGTCACGGTCCATGCAGCCTGAAGTTTCAAATCAATGGAGGCACTTCAGGGTTATCTTCAAAGTCGGGATCTTCCTCAGTTGGTGTAATTTTGGGTTCAGATCGAACTCTTCTGGGCGTGTGTTTTTTCTCTTGAACTATGTTGGCCACATCAGGGAAGGAACGCTTGCTAGGGTCTACTTCCAGTTTCTCAGTGTGCCTGCTTCTACAACAACAAAAAGAGGCCGGAGGAAATGGATATATCATTTTAAATTAAGTTTCAAAGAGATTCGATGCATTCATTCACTTATTCAGCAAACATGGGTGGAACATAGAGAAAAAAATGAGACGGTCACTGTTTTCAAATAGCTTAGCATCTTGGAGAAGCAAAAGTCTGAGCTGTGGAGAAATGAAGTGTTGAAAGGTGCAACAGGGCTGTGCTGATGCACAGGCAGCCGCAGGAGAGGCCAACCGGGACACTCTGCTTACCTAAGAAATTTCTGAAAATTGAAATGATACAGCGGCAAAGCACCACAGCCAGAATCAATAATAGCATCACTCTAGACAAGCCTTAAGCCTGAATGCAGCTAACCAGGCTCCCGGATGCTGCTGCTTCAGACAGCCCGGCCGGTCGCGGCTCAGCAGGGGCATTTACCCTACAAGTTCAGGTGCACGCAGAGCTCAGCGCACCAACAAGGACCTGGCCCTCCTGCTCGCACCCAGTTCTCTCAGCAACAGCTAGAGTGAAACGGAAGAAGAAGGAACCTCTAGTGGCCAATGATTCCCTTTACTGTAGTCATACAGAAAATTCTAGATAATACTGGGCACTGGGCTGCTTTTCTGGCAATTTCAATTCCACAGGCCTGGAGCTGGGCCCAGGAATTTGTATTTATATAAAGTTCTCCCAATGATTTTGACAATCAGTCAAATTATTTTGGAATCACTGCACCATTCAGTCATTCAACAGATACATATGAAGCGTCTGCTCTCTTCCAGTGGCCGTGCGAGACACCAGCAATCCTATCGTCTGTGCAAAGGGACAAGTTTCCTGGTTGCATCTAACAGTGCAGCATGGTGTTCACTATAAAACTTATCACGTTTTGTAATTGTCTCACTACTGGTCTGTTCCCCCTCCCAGACTGACATCTTTGAAGCAAAGATATTGTTTTTTTCATCTCGTGTCCTTGGCATACGGCTTTACTGAAAAAAAATCTTTGTTGAATAAATGAAAAAAAAATTATTATACTATTGTGGGGTAACAAAATTAAATAAAAACTTTTCTTGGGCCTAAAGAAATCACAATCTAATCCAGGAGCTGCCAACTGAGGTCGTCAGACCGAACTCATGCAGCAGACACAATTCACGAGGGAGGGAGAGTTGATTTCCTTTGGAAAGTGTGAACTCTCCACAGTTCTCGCAACCCTTCCCCCCTCATTTCTGCAATCTGCTCAGCCCTTGAAGTCATCTGAGTTCTTGATTCCTCTTAGTATTTTCACTAATACACATGGACCTGCTGAAGAAAAGTACACGTACACAAATAGTATAAAGTAGTAGGTTCTGAAGACCCAGATTGTACACCATAAACCATGGAGGAAGCTATGGTTTTCAAAGACCTACATTATAGTCATTAAATACAGCTCTACTTTAAATTACTATGTTCTTATTTAAAAGGCTGTGATATCGGTGGCTTAATTAAGTAAATATCTAATTCATCTATTATAATGACGTCATCTTGACTTTGAGGAAAAGCAGCCTATCTCAGTTCCAGGTGCATCTCTTGGGCCATAACTTCAGGTCTCAGTAATCAACAGGGAACACAGCCAGTCCACCCACTTCAGATGCTTTGAGGGACCATTTGCATGCAGGACTTTAATTACTCACAACTCTCTGGGTAACAGACAGTGAGCAGCTAGGCCTGGGGCACTGGAGGCTCACACTAATTCCCAAAATAAAGAGGAGAAGGGCGCTCATGAAAGATCTGATAAGATAATAAGGAAATACAAGGTCAGAATTCAGGGAAAGGAGGAATCCAGAGAGGGAAGTGGACCCCTGAAACCACCTTTGCCCCGAGGGCGATCGCTGAGCCCCTAAAGTGGAGCATTGGTCTTGCTGGGCTTATGAAGTCTGGGGACAGAGGTCAAGGCCCTGAGCATGCCAGGTGGGCAGTCTAACAGGACACCTTCTCCCCAGTAGGGTGAGGTCCCCAAAGGCTTCTCTCTAGTGTAAGAGTGAATGAGAAGCAACGCCACTCTGCCCTCCTCCCCATGGGGCTGAGAGGACTGTTCAGTGGGACAGAAAAGGGCCGAGGTGTCACCACAGGCTGGTGCTCCCTTGGGTTTATAGCAGCTGGTGGTTAAAGCCCTCAGTCTTGAATTTAGAGTGGAGACCACAGGCTCTGCCCCAAAGCACATGCCAGTGCTCCCTGGACAAGCGCCTGCCAGGCCTCTGAGAAGCCCTCACCTGTCATCTAAGGCTGTGGAGCAGCTCACAGCGAGAGACGAAGAAGCACCAGGAAAAGGGCACTGTGCATGAGAACCAGCGGAAGCGATGGGAACAGACACAGAACACAGGGGCTTCAGACACTGAATACGAAGCACGAATTATAAACCCACTACACTCGCTATATTTGAATACAGTGTCTCAGAATTAACAATAAAGTGTCGAGTACGTGCCCTCTGGGAGTGGCAATACAACAGAGACGCCTGCTGTCACCCTCCAGTCAACACGCACTGGAGTCCTTCTCTATGCAGCAAGGCAGGAGAAAGAAAGAAAAGGTACGGGATTGGGAAGAAAGAAAGCTAGTGTTTTTGCTGTATAGAAAATCCAAAAGATTTATAGATATATAGAAAATATAGAGAGATACAGAAAATCCAAAACGACGACAGACAAATTAATAAAATAATGAGAGAGGTTAGCAGGGTTTCTTGGTACAAAATCAAACACAAGACTGAATTACATAGTGGTGATGGGTGCGCAATACTGTGAATACGATAAGTGCCACTGAGTTGTACACTTTTAAAGGGTTAAAATGGTGAATTTAATGTTACATGTACTCTATCACGGTAAAAAAATTTGCAAATCTATATATTAGCAACAGACAAAAAATAAAATAACATATTCGTGATAGTATCAAAAATATCACACACCTAAAAGTTAATAAAACCCGGGTATATTCATGGAAAAATAAAATTTTACCGAGAGATACCAAATAAGACTGAAAAAAGAGATGCCAGTATTTATTAGGATTGTTCTCCCTAAATTGATCTATAAATCCAGTAGAATTCCAAACAAAATCCCAATACACTTGTGTGTGTGTGTATGTCTGTGTGAGTGTGTATGTGAGAGAAACACGACAAGCTGTTACTAAAATTTATAGAAAAGCACAAAGAGCCAAGAATAGCCAACTTTTCAAGAAGAAAAAGAAGTTGAGAGGACTTTTCCTACTAATTATAAACTTACTATGAAACTATGGGAATGGAACAGAGTCTAGCAACAGACCTACATATATGTGGACACTTCATCTATAACAGAGGTGGCCTTGTTTATCAGTATGGAAAGTACAAACTTTTTAATAAGAGACACTGGGACAGTAGTGTCTCTATATGGTAAAAAATCAAGTTGTCATCTCTTAACAAAACTGTCAGACCTTAAACAAAAGTCAGTTCCTGATGGATTATACCTAAATGTTAAAGGGAAAACTACAAATCCTTCTAACATAAGGACTACACCTTTATGACTGAAGGTAGGAGAGGATTTATAAAACAAGACAAAGAAAGCATCAACCATAAAAAAGTTTAATAATTTTGATTATTTTGAAATATGATTTTGATTATTTTAAAAATATGATCTTCTGTTCCTTAAAAGATACCATGAAGTGGCTTCCAGTTTCTGAGGAAAACTACATAACTCTGATGAAGGATATCAAAGAAGACTAAATAAATGGGGAGACATCCATGTTTATGGATGAAGACTCAATATTGTCAAGATGTCAGTTCTTCTCAAACTGATCTGTACATTTAATGCAAACCCAATCAAAATCCCAGCAAGTTATTTTATGGATATTGACAAACTGATTCTAAAGTTTATATGGCAAGGAAAAAGACTCAGAATAGCCAACACGATATTGACAGAGAAGAACAAAGTTGGAGGTCTGATACTACTCAACTTAAAGACTTACGATAAAGCTACAGAAATGAAGACAGTGTGGTATTGGCAAAAGAATAGAAAAGCAGATCAATGGAACAGAATAGACGGTCTGGAAATAGACCTCCATAAATAAAGTCAACTGATCATGGACAAAGGAGCTAAGGCAATACAACAGAGCAGAGATAGTCTTTTCAACAAATGGTGCTGGAACTACGGGACAGCCACACTCAAAAAAATGAATCTAGGCACAGACTTTACCACCTTCACAAAAATTAACTTTGTCAAAATGGATTACTGACTTAAACAGGAAATGCAAAACCAGAAAACTCTTAGAAGATAACATAGGAGAAAATCTAGATGACCTTAGGTATGGTGACATTTTAGATACGGCACTGAAGTCATGATCCATGAAAGAAATAAGACAAGCTGGACTTCATTAAAATTAAAATCTTCTGCTCTATGAAAGACAATTTCGGGAGAATGACAAGACAAGACACAGATTGGGAGAAAATATTTGAAAAAGACACGTGATAAAAGACTGTTATCCAAAATATACAAAGAACATTTAAAATTCAACAATTATTAAACAAACAATGTGATTGAAAGATAGGCCAGAGACCTTCAGAAACACCTCACTAGGGAAGATGTGAGGTTAGCAATAAGCATATGAAAAGATGCTCCACACCACATGTCATTAGGGAAATGCAAATTAAAACAACAATGAGATACCACTACACGTCTATTAAAATGGCCAAGATCCAGCTCACTGACAACGCCAAATGTTGGCAGGGATATGGAGCAACAGGAACCCTCATTCACCACTGGTGGGGATGCAAAATGGTACAGCCACTTCAGAAGACAGTTTGGCAGTTTCTCACAAAACTAAACATACTCTTACCATATGATGCAACAATTGTGCTCTGGTATTTATCCAAAGGAGTTAAAAGCTTATGTCCACACAAAAACCTGCACATGATGTTTACAGCAGCTTTATTCATAATTGCCAAAAATTGGAAGCAACCAAGATGTCCTTCAGTAGGTGAATGGATAAACTGTGGATCATCCAGACAATGGACTATTATTCAGCACTAAAAAGAAATGTACCATTAAGTCATGAAAAGACATGGAGGAACCTTAAACACATATTACTAAGTGAAAACAGCCAATGTGAAAAGACTAAATACTGTATGATACCAACTATGTAACATTTTGGAAAAGGGAAAATTAGGGTGATGGTAGAAAGATCAATAGTTGCCAGGGGTTAGTGGGGAGAGAGGGATGAATAGGTGGAGCATTGAGGATTTTTCCGGCAATGAAACTACTCTGTAAGATGCTATAATTTTTGATAAATGTCATTATACATTTGTCCAAACCCACAGAATGAACAACACCAAGTTTGAACCCTAATGTAAACTATGAACTTGAGTTATAATGATGTGTCAATGTAGGTTCATCAATTATAACAAATGTACCACTCTGATGGGGGATGTTGATAACGGTGGAGGCTACGCCTCGGGGGGGAAGTGGATATAAGGAAATCTCTGTGCCTTCCACTCAATTTTGCTGTGAACCTGAGACTGCTCTAAAGAAGAAAATCTGTTTGAGAACAAAAAAAAAAGACATCATGAAGAGAGTCAGAAGGTAAGCCCATGAATGGACCAGTGCTGGTTCCACCACTCACTTAGCAACTTTGTGATTCTGGGAAAATTACTCAGTCTCTTTGAACCTCAGGACATTAGGAATAACAGGATTTATCTTGTAGTTATTTTGAAGATTAAAGATAAGATAATGCATAGCATCATGCAGCACAAAGTAGGCACTCAATCCTCAATAGATCCATTTTTGAGGAAGCTGTGTGTCTTCCGTTACATATAGTGTCACAGGACCACAAGAGTTCACTGAATCGGTTACCTTCCCCTGAAATATGATCCCATCTGGTCCAGTGAATGAAACCCTGCTCCATTTCTCTTCTCCTTCCATTCACTCCATCTCCACAGCCTGAGAAAAGGACCACTCTGGCTGTGAGAGGGTGGAGGGGCTTACTCCATCCCTCCCAATGTATCAACGCACCTGTATCCTTCTTTGCCTCAGACTAACCACTGGCGTGACGTCTTCCTGTGTGCAGCCGTAACAGGCAGCTGTGTGGTTAGTGGGGTTGCCCAGCCAGAGGCTGAGAACATGTGGGCATGAAGTTTGTCAGTGATGGAGGAGCACCACAAACAACCTTCACATGGATATTTTATGTACGGCTGTGAGGTGACCATTTCTCAGCAATGAAAATGAAAGAGAAAGGCTTTGCGCAAATACTCAGGAGGCACCACGAGGAACTGTGCTCAGACGCCTCTAATCCTCAAGCGTAGTCACAGCAACGGTGGTTGTCCTGGGGTCTGAAAACCAGCTCCAAACTGTTTGCGATGGCTCAGTTTCCCACCCTTGCGATTCCTTACAAACTAGATTCAGACTCTTTGGGCTGATGCTGCTGAGGGTTAATTATGAGCGTGAATATTCATAACAGTCATAATATCCCCGGATCTCCGTAAATTACACATGTCTGAACTGGAAATCACTAAGGTGGGAAACAGGAGAGCGGATTTCCAAGGTTAAAAACAGCATCCCGCTTTTCAGTAGGAATTCAATTCCACACCTGTTGTTCAAGCAAACTCCGTGTTTGAAAATCTCTACTAAACTTCGACAGCTCTCGCTGAATGTACGAATGCCTGACGGCTTGTATTATGCAAGACACAAATATAGCTCTTGTTCAGGTATTTTTATAACGATAATTCTAGCATATATATTTGTATCACAAAGATAGTTTGCCTTGGTTCAAAATAGATTTTTGCCATCTGGATGCTAAGAGTCTGGAAACCACGACAAGTAGAAGGAAAGTGGAAAGAACTGGGAAGTTCATTCGAAGGAAGAATTGGGAAATCTTGAGAGCTTTGTCCAAAATACTTTAAGGGGTGCCACTGCTTACGGGAGGTGGGCTTGGTTCCGAGGGCCACCAGGGGACAGAGCTAGGGTCTTCAGTGAGGAATCAAGGAGAAGCTTTCTAACACTGGGGAACGCTGGGAGAGGGATGAATAGCCTCTTGAGAGAGGGAGGGTCCTGTTGAGAAAGAAGCTTAACAAAGGCTGGAAGATGACCTATGATTAGGAGGTTGACAGGAGGACACAGAAGGGGCCTCTTGGTCTTTGTAGCCCCAAGAGTCTTGGAACCTACAAAGTGACACGTGGGTCATAAAAGAGATGCAGTGTGAGCAGCAGCATGGGCACGGCTCAGCAGAGTTGTCCCAACATGCCATAGCTACACCACCTTTGGACATTTAAACATCTCTCTCCCTCATTTTCCCCATCTGCAAGCTGAGGATAAAAACTGTGAGGGATAAATGTATTAATGTGGGTAAAGCACACAGAATGGTGCCCGATACAAGTGCTCCCAAGATGTCAGTAGTCATAGGTGTTGATGCAACCGCTCAGTATTATTATCACAAGAAATGGGGACCTGTATGGACACAGATTTGTTTTTTAGGGGATCAAGAGCCCTACAAATCAAGAGTCTAAGTTTTGTAAATAAACATTAACATTCACGGTATGAATCATTTTTAAGTTTAAATAACTGTGCACTTTTGGAAGGTGCATTCTGGCCACCAAATGACAACGAGCTCGAGCCACCTGGAGAGTGGTACCTTTCGGTCTTTCGCTCTCTGCTGCTGTCCAAGGTACTTGCCACAGGCTTGGATGCTGGCGGGCAACCTGTGATTACTTCGTCTACCTAAAATAAAAATACAACACACACTAAGTGGTGCATCACTCTCTGATAAATCTTCAAACATATACACTATATATATTTTTAAGATGCTAAAACATTTGAATTTTTACAACATATTCTATGAAAGAGTCTAACTTTAAGCCCCTAGATGTGGTACGAGAAACTTGTATCATAAATTCTATCTGTTTGCTATAGTCTTGCAAAGTCACGAGCTCTACTTCATTTGCCAAAGGCCAAGCAGGGGCACATGGTGAATTAATTCATTTAACAAACACTTTCTGAGAGTCAACAACACGCCAGACACTTTTGGGGTGTTAGGTGTACAGATGTGACTAAGACCCATTAAGCTCCTTTGAAGACTTCCAATGACTGTGCTGCTGTGGAAAGACCTCCGAGCCGGAAGCTTGAATCCTTGTCCTGCCAGCTCACCAGACCCTGCTTCCTTCCTCCATAAAGCGAGGAATTAGATATGATCTCGAAGGTCCCTTCTTGGTCTGAAAAATTCTGTAATTCTACAACTTCTTTTAAACTTAATAAGTTCAATGCTATGCATGTTGAGGTCTCAATAAATAAAACTGATCAATTTAATTCAACAAACCTATGGCGAACATTATTCAGACACAGCCTCTTCCCTTAGAGAGCTCATAAGACATAAGCATGTGGGGGGAGAAGAGAAAGTCCAAATCCTTGCTAGACCTGGACAATGTGCTGGGCACACACCAACCTATGCTAGGTATTTTATATATTTTATTTAGCCCCCCACCTCCCAAAATTCCTATGAGACAGGGATTACTTGTTGACAGAGAAAAGGAATTTTAAAACTCCTCTCCTCGTGTTGCCTTGGTCCACTGACCAAGGTGGGGGCTCTGCCCTTTCTTTTCAAGCAAGAAAGACACCCGGAGTGAGTTTACATTCCTCTCTCCATCTGTATCAGCAACTTCTCTTTGGTGGGCAAATGACTCATTTACTGGCCACATCTCACTGGTGGGCAGGGTTACTCCTCTGAAAGGTGAGGGACATCTGCCACCCTGAGACTTGATGTGTTGCACAGCAGTGGTTGGATTCACGCAACTGATTAAGGAGAAAGACTAGGCTTGAACGTTGAAGGCCCAGTCTCTATCCCCACTCCCGTCTGCTGGCTCAGGCAAGCATGCTGGAATCACCATCTGTATTTGGAAAGGGAGTCAGGAGCCCCGGGTTAGCCTCAATCCTAAAGCAGATTCTCCAATCCAGTCTTTACAAGACTTTTCATCGGAGTGCTGGTCACTTAATCAAATTAACAGACGGGGCCATTTGTTCCCATTTCACTAGTGAGTTTTGGTTGTATGCTCCATGGGTCAGAAGCCCAGAAAGCCCAGCCCACTGATTATCACATGCATCCTTCAATAAATGAATGGCGAATGAACATATGAAGGGATGGGTCCCAGTCTGGGGACTGCAGCATCGAACTTGGGGAGGAGGGTGTTCTTACGGATAACCACCCCTTGATGGCACTCCTTCTATGCGGTGGTACAAGGACCAGCTTTTTTAGATACCGCAGTTGTATATTTCTCTATCATATTTTATAAAACTTCAACCTGTATATGTATGTGTGACTTAGTTCACCTCCCTTCCCATTGACCTCATGGGAGGGCCTGTTTGAGATGCAGAAAGAAAACATCCGCTTAAACACCGCCCTTTTACTATATGTATTGAACACCTAATTGGGAAAAATACCTTTAAGCATCACAAATGGCTTGTGCAATGGCGAGACTTTTGCTGACACTCCAGAAAAAAAAAAACAACGAATACCGCATGTACTAAAGACATTAAATGTCAAGTTTGGAAGAGTTTGTTCAGACACATTTTAAAAGAGGTACAGCTTGCATAACAAAAACTTGTAGAAGAATACTATGGAAGAGCCAGCAATTAAAGCCACCAATTCAATGTTTGCTGAATAATTAAAGATGGTGACTCATGGAAAGGATCACCCAACGAGGAAGGTTTTTATTATCATCAAACACTGTTTCGGAGGAAGCTGATTCTAAAATGTTTTATTTGCTATGTTTTAAAATATATTTCGTGCCATAATTTTATTGTTTTCCATTAACTTCTTGCTGGCCACCAATGTTATATTTTTGGAGGTTAATGTGGCACAGTACGAATGTCTGCACTATTTTAATATGAAAGCTTAACTGATTTTCTTCCTTTTCTTTAACTGAACTAGTGCAATGAATACAAATATTTCCTCCACCTTCTTGGCCTAGCCTTAAGGAAATGGGAACACTTTTCAATTGCTATTGATTCCAGTTCTGGCTTATTAAGCCGTATTAATGTCAAATATGAAAGGAAAGAAAGACAGAGTTGAGGAGACTGGAGATGCCTCCCCATCGATGGCAGTAGAGAGGGACTGTAGACGTTAGGGGAATGAGAACCGGCACCCTCCCCCTGCAGTGTCTCAGGGGTGCAGTGGGACCTCTGAGAGACGGGGCTGCGTGGGCTGCGTGGAGCAGTGCTGTCCGGCAGAATTCTCCGCGGTGATGGAAATGCTCTGTGCTAACGTGGGATTCCTGAGCGTTTCAAATGGGGTTAGTGCAACTGAGAATGGAGGTTTTAATTTTATTTAATTTTAAGTAATTTAAACTTATATTGACCAAGCCAGAAAAATGGGAACATTACAAGAGTTAGCCCCAGATACATGTCTGGGCTGCCTGATTCTTCTCCAGGGTGAAGGATATCCATCCGCACAAGTTACCCCTAATTTAACTATGGTCCTTGACCACATGGCCTTTTCAGTTCTGGAACTCTCTGCTCCTTCCTTGACGTGCCTGGGACCTGGCACCCCTATGTGAGTGTGAGAGCCTGGAGCCTACGTTCCAATCTCTCTGATCAGTGTGGGGTCTGAGGCTCTCCCTTAACCCAACTCAGGACAACTCTAAAGGACCATGTCAGCCACAGAGCTCACTGAGGTGTCAGCTGAGGCCTTTGTTGGGGTTGCATCACAGCTCAACTTTTCCCTTTTCCCATTCCTGGTTTCTCCCCTCCCTCCCACGGGCATCCATCCTGGAGAACTCCTTAGCAAACACTTTGCATCCGCATCTCCATCTCAGGATCTGCTTCCCGGGGAGCAACGGCATCTTTGCAACTTTCTTATTTTTTAATATTTTAATTACATTAAATGAGGCCAATGTTAGTTAAAATTCATTAAAATGTCAGCTTTAAGGAAAAAAAGCTCTTAAGCCAAAAGTACAAGTTTTGTATTGCTTCACGTTGTAAATGCACTAACAAGAATGGGAGCATGTGCATAATTAGAGACTTAAAACACCCCATTTCTAACACTGTTATTTGTCACATAACAAGCTCAGACAAAGATTCTCTGTGCTTATGGAAATGCAAATAGAATCACAAATTTGGAACTTTTCTTCACAGGGAATTTGCTGTGCACCAGAATCTAAATGTGCTTCTTATTTTTTAAAGATATTTTCAACTTAATTAGTTTCAAAGGTTCTTTTAACTTTAAAAGTTGAAAGGAATTAAGAAATCAGCAGTAAGAAAAATATTAACACCGTCATCCATCTTAACACCAATATTTATATTGAGGGCAGGTAAAGCTTTTCTGATAAGAGACCTGATCTTCCCAAGCAGAGGACTACAGGTTCAGAGTTTCCAGGCACTGAAACACTGACGTGTGGTTTCCCACTACACCCGCTGTCCCAGGACCATTCTTCCTCTAGGAAGCGATGCTCATTAACACCAAACATCTTATTCATTTGTACTCACTGCGTCTAGGGGTGACTGATGGAAAAGTTGTAAGGGCCAAAATATGTTTAAAAAATTAGACAATGTGGGACTCATGCCTTCCCGAATCCACAGAGAGAAACGTAATCAACTACTTCTAAATTCAATTGTGGTATAGGCATGACAGTACAAATTAACGTGCTAATGACGTTAGAAGTTGTTATTTTAACTCTCATAGAGTCTTAAGGTTGAAAATCAGGAGTGAACATGTAGGCTGTAATCAAGTCTACTTTTCTATAGAATGCAAGAGTCCCTTCTAAGGCTTTTCTGACGGATGATTTTCCAGGCTTTGCTTCAACAGTACCCTGGGAGGAAGTCTCATTACTTCCTGAGGGAGCACCCTGCACCGAGACAATCCATATTTACTTGAACAAAATATATGCAGTTGCTTTTCCAACTATAAAAGTTACTGAGAAACCGAGACTATGTGAGCTGTGTCGAAATACAGTGAACAGATGCGTGGGAGGCAGACCTAGGTCTTAATCCTTATATTTTGGTTGAATCATAGAGATTATCAATATCTGACTATTTTTCGACCTACAAAACAGTGATTGCACGTGGTTCAATTTAATAGTTATTTATAGGAATTTAAATAAGAAGGGGCGATCACTCCATTTCAGATGAAGACTTGTTAGTGGCAAATTAAAATAGTGAATGGAGAAAGAAAATGGAATAATATTTGTTGAGAAAGAAAATACAAAACAATCAACTATTTAACTTTTTCCTGTGAGTTTTCCCTGACTTCTTAAATAATAGTATTCCTGAAAATCAGAAGTAAATTTCTTTTTCTCTCGGATTTCCTGTTTGTATCACAGTTTCAATGATTACCTCCATTAAATCTTTTCAAAGAAATATTTACTGAGCACCTATTACATGCCAACCATAGGACTAAGTGGTAGATATGGAATGAAAGATTAATAAATTATCCTTGATCATCTCATGAGGGATAAAGGCACACAGACAATGAAAATATGTTGAAGAAAGTGCAATTGATAGATATATGCATAGCCTCCTATGGAAGCCCAAGGGAGGGACTCATACTGAGTGGCCGGGGAGCAGGGATCAAAGAAAGCTTACTGGGGGATACGAGGGTTGACATGAATTTCAAAGAATAAGTAGGAACTTGCTAGAAGATGAAGGTCATGCCAGGGATGAAGAACATTCCAGGGAGAGAGAAAAGCATGAACAAAGACAGGAAGGTAAATGACTGCATAAACAGGCACAAA